CTTATAACTGTCAACCTGTGTGAGAGAAGACGATCCTAATTTATACACGTGTTCACTAGGGTTTTTCTTTCTCGTTACACAGAGATATACACTTTTTTCCAAATTTAATTCCATTCCCCATTCTACACACCACTCCCTGACGTTTTCAATGTTTTTCTCGAGTTCGTTCTGATCATTAGTACATGTGACTTCCCGAAACAAAACACAGTCGTCAGCGAACAATCGAATTTGAACAGTAGGGTCAACAACAGTTACTAAATCGTTAATATACAACAAAAAAAGCAATGGTCCCAAAACACTACCTTGTGGAACCCCAGAGGTGACAGGAAGACACCGAGATTCTTCTTCGTTAATTTTTACAAGCTGTTGGCGGTTGGACAGGTAGGCTGCAATCCAGGAAACAAAAATATCCGGAATGTGAATGTTTTTAAGTTTTGCTATTAGTTTGTCGTGTGGTACCTTGTCGAAAGCTTTTTTGAAATCTAAAAATATAGCATCAATTTGGCCGTTATTGTCAAGACTCGCTGCGAACGAATGAATTATTGTCACCAATTGGGTTGCCGTGGAATAACCTTTTCTAAAACCATGTTGAAAATTTGTTAGTACGACATTTTCGTCTAGAAATTCAAAAATCTGTTTGGAAATAATATGTTCAATGATCTTGCAGCATTGAGACGTTAAAGATATCGGACGGTAATTTTGAAAGCTGCACCGGTCACCTTTTTTAAAAACGGGAACAATCAGAGCCATCCTCCAGTCACTCGGCAGCTTCCCAGTGGACAAAGAAGTACGAAATATTACTACAAGAAACTTAGCAAGTATTTCGGCATATCTGCGTAAAAAGGCGTTTGGAATCTGGTCTGCACCACATGAAGACTTGGTTTTCAAATTTAACAGCATAGATAGTACACCAGAGTAAGATACAAAGTCAGCGTCATAAATGCCAGGATCTGATATTAACAGTGGATACGTTTGCGCAGGAGAAAACACACTGTGAAAATAATGATTAAAATATTTAGCAATAATTGCAGGGTCAGAAACGAGGTCCCCATCGATTTTCATTTCCCTTACAGGCTGCCTTTTATCAGTAATGTAATGCCAAAACTTATCAGGATCATTTTTTATGAAGTTTGGTAGGAGGGTTTGAAAGTAGTGGTCCTTTGAGCAGCGCACTGCGTTTTGCAAAGAATTTTTAATCTCAGTGATAACGTCAGACAGTGCCTTCTTCTTTTTTAATCTTTTAAGTTTGCGTTTCAAGTGAACAATTTTGCGTGTTATCCAGGGTGTACACTTGTGAATTTTTTTGCGCTTGCTCGGTATAAAGTTGTCAAGGCAGTAATGGCACATGTCTTTGAACCGGCCCCATAGGTTGCAAACGTCATCACCATCAAAATTAGCAAGACATATTTCTAGATGGTCAAGTACAGATTTGTCATTAGCTCGTGAGTAATCTTTGAAGCGCCGTATCGTCGACCTATCTTGGGAGCTTAACTTGAGAAGGGGTAAAGTAACGCATACTAAGTGGTGGTCAGATATCCCGGGTTCTATTGTAACAGAGTATCGGTCAAAATTACGGGGAATAAATACAAGATCCAGAAGGGAACTGCAAGGGCCCTGTACACGAGTTGGTTCGTTTACTACTTGTATTAGGTTATGTGTAAGCATGATGTCAAACACTATGTTTGTGTGTTTCAAAAATTCTGAACCAGCCATCAATCGTTTCCAGTCAATCCCTGGAAGGTTAAAGTCCCCAATCAGAAAAACTTTGCTGTTCACATATTTCGACATGTGCTCTCGAAGTCTAGTTAGATATTCTGATGGGGAATCAGGAGGCCTGTAAAGCGCGTAAAGAATGAAAGAGTACCCCCAGCACAAAACCTTTATGCACAGGCATTCAAGTTCGTCGATATCAGGCAACAAAACGACCCGTATGTTGTTCTTCAAAAGAACAGCCACGCCCCCGCCTCTGGAAGCCCTGTCTTTACGTAAGATCTGATAGGATGCGGGAAAGACGCTGTCATCTGATATGTCGCTTCGGAGCCAAGTTTCAGTCACTACGACAATGTGCGGGTCATTTTGAAGCAAGATAATTTCAAGCTGGTCAGTTTTATTTATTAGACTACGAGCATTCAGGTTCAGCAGGCGCAGTTGCTTTTCTTTGGTTGGGTTCGCATTACTGTTAGGGGTGTTCCTGGTTTTTCGGTTGATTGGCCTTTTGGAAGTATTTTTGATCATGATGCGTTGTTTAATGCCTGAGCCTGTTGCCTCGTCTGTGAACGATTTGGCTTTCGTTCGTCGTTTTTTCGTAGGAGTAGGCGTTCATCTTTTTCGGTATCCCAAGTGTAAACGTTGCTATTGATGAATAGTTTGTCGAAAACTAGCGACACTTTCTCTTTTTTGTCGCGGTTTGGTTTCGAACTTGCCCACAGTTTACGTCTGACATCTCGCACTCTACGGGAGAAATCTTCACCAATGGAGAAATCTGAACCTTTTAGCTTAGATCCTTGCTTAAGAATTGAGATCTTGTCGTGTGCGTCTTGCAGCTTAAAAAATAACTGGTCTAATCTTGTTTGGTGCAGGCCTACCTATTCGATGGATGCGCTCAATCCTAATTGGTTCAAGCTCCAACAAGTCTTGAATTACTTCTTTGTTGACAACGTGTTCAAGTGTGTCACTGGTCTCGTTGTCCCTTTCCGGTAAGCCATACACTATTAGGTTTGATCTTCTACTATGGTTTTCGAGCTGATCAACCTGCTTTTCTAGTTGATGAATTACGGTGCTCATAGAAGCTATTTGAGTTTGGCAAGCAGCAATTTTGTTCTCTAAAATAGTCAAGGCGTCCAATTTTTTCTCTATATCGGTTAGTCGCTTTTCTTTTATGTCCTTTATGTCAGTAGCTATGCTCTCTAGTTGTTTAGCAATTTTAGCCAAATCAGGACCAGGATTGGTCTCAATGGCCCAGAAGGAGCAGTTGTCGCAACAAGCCAGAAACATCATAAAACACACCAGAAGACCATGGGCACGGCAGCACAAGTAAGAACGGGTCGCCTGAGCGAAAGCATTTTCCGTAACGCCTGCTCACCTGTAGAAGGAAGACAAACGGATTTTGAGACAACCGCATACTGGCTGTGCCGCCGTGCCCAGTGGACGAGGAGTGAACAGGACGCTCATATATAGCCGGAATCTGCAACGGCGCCACCTAGACGGCTTCTGGTATCAGTGATGCCCACGTGGCTGATATCTGTAGAGGCAGGTGGTCCGGGTGTGCAGTTGATGACCGGCAAGGAAAGATGAGGCTGGTCGCAGGATGCGGCGCATGCGCATCTCCCACTCGCAGATCGAAAGGTTCGGCAAAAAGGGGGCCCAGCAATCCAAGGAACTGTAGAAGGAAGACAAACGGATTTTGAGACAACCGCATACTGGCTGTGCCGCCGTGCCCAGTGGCCGAGGAGTGAACAGGACGCTCATATATAGCCGGAATCTGCAACGGCGCCACCTGGACGGCTTCTGGTATCAGTGATGCCCACGTAGCTGATATCTGTAGAGGCAGGTGGTCCGGGTGTGCAGTTGATGACCGGCAAGGAAAGATGAGGCTGGTCGCAGGGTGCGGCGCATGCGCATCTCCCACTCGCAGATCGAAAGGTTCGGCAAAAAGGGGGCCCAGCAATCCAAGGAACTGTAGAAGGAAGACAAACGGATTTTGAGACAACCGCATACTGGCTGTGCCGCCGTGCCCAGTCGTATATATGTATATATGTATATATGCCGACGCGCTTCACCGCTTGTCAGTTGATCGATGGCTGACCTTTTGCTCGTCGCTATCGGTGCCAGTGTGTATTGCTGTAATCTGAGGTTCTGTTTATCGGCCACAAGTTCGGCCGAATAAAGAAATTTACCTTGGACCTGCAGTCTTCTCCCTTCGTCGACGTCACGACTCCGTGGCAATATTGTTCTCATGGAGGCATACTGAGGATGTGCTGAGGTTGTATTTGTGTTGTCTGGGATAGAAGTGGGGCTTAAGGGCAGTGCGGATTTTTTATAGGTACGTTTTTTGTGGCTTGGCACCACTTCACTACAGTGAAACCAGTTTTACAGAGAGGCTACATAAAGAGTAATATACACTGGCTTTCACGCTGGATTCATTGTTCACTGGATTCATAGGGGTGATACCATCTTTACAGGGTGACACATGTGGGCTAATTTGCAATAGTTCATTTATTTAATATAATTAGCATTTTAAATAACCTAAATTCAATTACAAGTAAATTCAAATAGTGCATTATTCGTTCAAATATTCAAAGCACTGGAATAATGGCACAAGCCTACAAAACAGTAGTTTGATGGCCAAGAACAGATTTACTACAAATCAGTTTATTGCATGAAATCCATGCTATTTGATTCTGTGTTCATTATACTAGGCGAAGGGCTCTAGTCAAGTTTCATAAATGTATTAAGACTAGAACAGACAGTGCTGTACACGGAATGTTGGAAGAACAACTCATGTCTGTACCCTCATCTGTCATTCTTGAGCCATCCCGTGTTCAGCACTCTATTTTTGTTTTAATCATGTGCCAACCAGCCCAGTTTCGTGCACTCGTGCATGAATATAGCATTTGGTATTGTGCAACTTTCTGTAACCTATAGCGTTAGCAGGTGTGGTAGTATAGAGACAAAACTCTCTTCACACTCATTGTAAAGTGCTTTGGACTTGCATTTCTTTGGGCCATATGGCAACTGTGAAAAAACTTTGTTGGCATGGCACTAAGCTGTAAATGTACTGTCAATAGCTGTCAGGGTAAACATACCTGAATTATATGTCGTGCATTCTTTGCAGCTCGTGCAAAATCAGCTGGTAACCCTACTTTGATACAAAGTCACATTTCAATGCAAAAATTGAGTATGCGACAGCGCACTCTGTTAGTACTTCTGGTGATTGGCAAGAACACACACAAGTAAATACTATGCACAAGGTGTGCAGGTGGTAACAGCACATAACGCACCGGTGTACTGGTGCGTGGCTGTGGGGCAAGCATGGTCTTCACGGTGCGTGACAGCTGATAGCGCAGACGATCTGCTTCCTGCCTCAGCCAGTGGTTTTGTTCCAAAATCCGTTGGCTTTCGTCAGCGCTTGCTGGTGTCTTCTGCAATGAGGCGTCCACAAGCATTTCAGGTGCACCCGACAATCCTTGTGCCTCTCAAAAAACTCAGTTATCCCTGTCTGAGTGAACAGTTCTCATAGTTTTTTACATATGTTGTGGAGATCTCGAAATAGATCATATGACTAAATAAAAAAAAAAATACATCACATTTTGTACAAACCAATCAATAAGCCATTTGTAGTGCAGTGAATATTCACTAAAATCTTCAAAGTTGTTACCTATTCTTTTGAGTAGGAAAACTGCAGCAGTGTAGTCTGCTTCTTTTTGACAACCCTATGGTTAAATATGGTTTCAAGGGCATTCAAGTCTACCTGCAGCCAGAACTACACAAACAGTAGATACCACCTCACAAATGTGAAAAATATAGAAATAGATACAACCAGAGAAAAGTAAGTCTTAAAGACACCTCAGTATGTGAACATGACAAACTTTCAATGCATAAGTCTGTTCATAAAAGGATGCTTCACAAGGCTCATAGAAAACGTTCACTGCACCTTGTAATCTCGCCAACTCACATAGGGCGAAATGGGCTTTGAAAGACACTGTCGGGTGTAATGACAAGCAAGGCTGAAGTCTTCAAGCACCCCATCTGAAATCCCTTGAGTGACCATAAAGATGGTGATGAGCATTTGCCTCATTTTGACGCCTCCTTGCCAGAAAGCTTTGAAAGGCCAAAATATATCAAAATCATCACGATAGACTCTAGTGACCTTGAATACAGAAACAAATGAAAATGTGTTTTAGATTCACCGTGAAGCAGCATTGGCAGAAGTAATGGTAGGACCTGAATGTAGATTGTTCATGCCTAACTCTGTTTCGACGGCTTATTTGAGCTAAATTGAAGTGACACGCTTTATGCAATCTGCTGTAACAGCTTTCTTCCCCCGTCCCTCCCTGCTAAATGTATGCAATGACCACGTCTTGTTCAAAAATTCTATTTGCAGTGCTTAATCAGAACTGACAGACAATTATGCCGAGGAAAATGTAAGGAATATTATTCGAAATAATGTAAATGTGAAGAAAGATAAGCGGATGAAAGTTTCGTTTATTCATAGAGAAGGTCCCATACTGGCAGACTTGGTGCCTTGAGGTGGTATGCGAGGGATTATTGGTCAGCTGCCAGCTTGTAATAAGAACACGTGCTACGTGACGCCAATAGACAAAAAATTAGTGTCCCAAACTTGCCACAGTAGCAACAGACAGCACTGACAGACACTCCCACTTTGAATGCACATACATAACAAGTAAAGTGGGTGGGGGGATAGCAGCCATGATAGCTCAGTTGGTAGAGCATCGAACCTGTTATTCGAAGGTCGTACGTTCAGTTCCGGCTCACGAAAAGTTATCTTTTCATCCACGTTTATTTCTTCACATTTACATTAGAATCACTTACAATAATATTTACTACACTCTTCTTGGCATAATTGTCAGTCTGTTCTGAGTAATATCATTTCTAACAAAAAGATTGAGCCCTTAAGTTTACCCTTCTTTCTTGTGCTTGCTGTTTAAAAAAATTTTAGAATCTGTGCATAAGTGTTGCTTTTCGTGGCTGTTGGTACCTTTTTTTATTAGTTGGCTGGCTAAATGTATGCTTGTGTGCATCACCTAAATACATGCATTGATGCATGCACTAAACGGAACTCAATGCTGTGTGCAGTATATGAGTGTTTTATTTATTGCACACAAAGCACAATATTGTGATAGAAGGGTATGTACACATAAGTGAGGACGAGAGTCTTAAGATAGCATAACTTGCAAAAAATTTGTCCAGAGGGATCGTGCGAATTCCGACGGTCCCCGAGTGGGCCTAACCAGGTGATGCTCAGTAAACTCGCGTCTATAGTGAACCCAATAAAGTTAGTTCACCTAGTCACTTTCAGAAATCACATTTCGGAATATTGTAGACCAAATTATGTTCCGGAAAAATTTTATGTTAAAGCAAAATACACTTTGTTTTTCTTACAAAGCCGATAGATTAAAGTACAGATGTTTTTAATAATTGGAATACAATTTTCTTGACTCTGTTGTTTTTTGTAAAGTGCCTTATAGAAGTTTCGAGAAGTTTCTGCGAATGAACTTAAACAAACTTGGTATCATTGATATTTGCAACCCTCACACTACAGGCCATTGCTTTTTTTTCCCCAGCCTTGATGGAATTGTAGTTATTTGATAAATTTCATTTTTACCTTCCTAGTTTTAAATATATTTCTGATAAAAGAAAGAGCTGTTTAGACATTCAGCTTGCTTTAGTCTGTGAGGTGAACCTTTCACAAGGACTACATAGCTTTGAAAAGTAACTTACGTTGTACCTCACTATAAGAACCCATAAGAAATAACTCAATGTGCGCAAATCTGTCTTTTCTTCTTTTTGAAATGAAGCATTTAGAATGTGTTTACAGACTTGAAATCTCGTTCAATACTACATGCATGGTAAATTCATTAGGACAAGATAAAAAATAAAAAAAAAACTTATTTTTTAGACTCTTATCCCTCTGCTCAGACAACACTCGATGTCTTGAGATCGTCCACAAATGGTACAGTCCTTCTTGCACATTTGTGATTGACCTTGGTACTTACTGAGGTCAAAACCAGCTGGTTTTACCCACAAATGCATTTTCCAGTTCTTTTTAAGGACAACAATTGGTCCGGAAAAGGTCCTGCCAAGGATATTTTGGGGACGACAAAAGCATTGCATTTAGCACGTAGACATAATTCCTCAAGACCTTTGCGCACAAAGTAGATGCATATCATATGTGAAAATTTTCTCCGATGTTTGTTTTATACTGTCATACAGTTATTGCATATTTTCACCTAGCTTGCTTCTCTTTTGGCAAAAACTTTCAAATTACGTGTTTCACTTAAATGAAACACGCGCAAATAACCAGCTTGGTATCGAACCTGGTATTATGAAATGTTCATTTGAAATAGCGTGTTCTTAAATGTATGAGCCTTAAACTAGTCATTACACATCGCTGTAGCGAATATAACAAACTAGCAGCTGGCAACCATTTATTGTGTGGCGCCGTTCTAGATAGTCAAGTAGTCAAGCCATTCCAACCCAACTGACTGTCAAGATGAGATCTGTTGGGGAAGGTGCAATGTACTAGTGAATGTTTGTGTAAGTAAGGTAGTCAAGCCGTTCCAGGCCAACTGAATGTCAAGATGGGATCTGTAGGGGGAGGTACAGTGTACTAGTGAATGTTTGTGTAAGTAAGGTAACCAAGCCATTCCAAGCCAACTGACTGTCAAGATGGGATCTGTCCAGAAAAGTGCTGTGTACTAGTTACAGTGTACTTTAAGGGGGCAGTGTGCTCACTGCCCTATCCCTGCGCTGCGTTGCCATGGCCCTTCCCACGTCGACAGATCGAACGCCCGCCAGGGGCGCTGCCGCCCGTTTCACCTGAAAACTTTTGCTGTATGTGAAACGCGTTGGCACTTCCACGGAGTTGCGCTGATAACGTTGCAGCTCGGGGGCTTCAGAATAAATATTACTCGAGCATGTTTCCAACTTGGGGGTAGTGCCCCAGACGCCCAATGCTTGTTCATAAGGTCAGTAATTGCCATAATAAACTTATTGTCTAGGTTACGCAGTATTTTGTTGGAAATTTGATCATCTTCTGGGGAAGTCGTTGTACGAATACTATTCAAAACAGCATGTATTTCCACCTCGGTTATATCTCAATTTATTTTTTTGGCCTATTTCTCTTACATCATGCCTAGGGAAAGTTATGGAACACGCGATTCTACGACGACTAACAGCTTATGCGGAGTCGAGTGACCTGCTACATGCACGATGGTGGGATTTCGCCAGCAGTTATTCCCACGGGATATAATGCTGCAACTTCACAATGATATATTATATCCTAGAAACACAGCGGCAACCAGGACCATCCTGGACCTGGATAACACTAAAGCATTTGATAATGTGTTCCATGCTGCTGTACTTGGCAGCCTGGCCCAAATGAACGTCGTAAGTCCCACTTACAATAATATCAGAACTTTTCTGCATGAACATGGCTGAACTAACCATCGGCGACCTCAAAAGCGACAAAATCACCCTTGGCACACGGGGCACTCCACAAGGAGCCGTGTTATCACCATTCCTCTTTAACATTACGATGCATGGCCTGCCCGTTCTCTTGGACCAGATCCCACACATTAGGCACTCACTGTATGCTGATGATATTACTATATGAACCTGAACAGGCTCATATGGGCAAATCTGTGACGCGTTGTGAACAGCCACTGACACTGTATAAGAGTAGGTATAGAAAATGGGCCTTAGTTGTCCTCTCATAAATCCGAGCTCTTAGTAATCAGAACCAAAAACAAGGAGAATGACCCCTACCATGGAGCGTGCTCCGCAATCGATATCACAGTAAATGGGAACGTTGTCCCCATTGTTCGCACAATCAGGGTTTTAGGAATGCTCACCCAGCATAACACTTATAACACAGAAGCTCTCTACAAGTTACAGGCATCTGTACAGCAACGACTAGGCTACTAAGGAGAGTGGCAACGAAAAACCTATGCAAGTTAATCTATGCTTTTGTAATCAGTCGAGTCACCTACTGGTTCCCCTACTACCAACTCAGAAAGAAAGATGTGGAAAAACTGAACTGCCTAATTAGACAAACATATAAACGTGCGCTAGGACTTCCCAGATACGCAAGCACAGAAAAACTACTGTGCCTTAGTATCCACAACACAGTTGAGGAACTAATAGAAGGGCATTTAACGACCCAAGAAGAGAGGCTCTCCCGAACCAAAGCAGGCTTGCATATACTCAACCGTCTCGGACGACGCACTAGTTGCACACTCAACAACAGGGTTTTCCTGCCAGCGGCAACTCATGCAGACATTATAAGTAAACCCCTGCCCTAAAATATGCTGGCAGCAATACATGACGAGAGGCAAAACGCAAGAGCAGAAAACCTCACAAAACCATTTCAGGATCGCCCAAACGTTCTGTATGTTGACGC